ACCATCCTGGAATTGTTGCGGAGAGTTACAACTCTCCTATCCGAAAGAGTTTTGTGCGTAGAGTTATCCGTTAGTTAGCTGGTCTGGTAAGTGTTACATTTCATTTTTTTTTACATTACTATGTTAATATCAAGAATATACAGATATAGGTTATAATGCTTTTATATAAGTAAAGGATACAATGGATTTAATGTTATTATCTGAATAAACAAATAATAAATAAAAGTTTAATAAAATCTCACGATTTGAAAAAAATTTTGTATATTGATAATGTTTTACTTTTCAAGTTTATCTTGACATCACCGATTCTCTCATCTCTGAGGAAATCAAATTTTTTTAACGCCGAACAAATCTCGTCCGCTTAATAAATTATGGCGGATAATAAATTATGGTGCAATTTAATAACCATAAATTGACATCTAGAACCAGTAAAAGTAAATATCGGGGAAATATATTTTTGTATGTAGTACAGTAATTCATTTCACTTCACTGTTTCTAAAAGTACTCATGATAAATGCGGGTGGAATTTTTATGTTGGTTAAAATTTACCATACCGAAACGGTTCCGGTATTTTTACACATAGTATATACAATAAAAAACAATAACATACATATATTTTTGTATGTATGTTATTGTTTTTTATTGTAGCCTTCTTCGTTGGACGTTGCTAAAGATGTCCATGGACTGCAGGAATCACGTATAACATCAGGTGGACAGTTATTTTGTTTGACAATACAGTTTTATAAAAAAGTGCGTGTTAAAAAAACACCAAGACAAATAATATAAAAGTAGTTCTCATCAATTTGTTCATACAAGGTTACTATAACATTGATTGTGCTATAAATGTTTAAACATGAAGGTTGGTTCTCAAGGCAAAACATAAATAAATATGTAAGTCCACTCGTAGTTTACATTTTGTGTCATAGACCCGTAGTTGCTAAGCGCTCGCTGTAAAATTAATAGTACGTGAACAACCCAGGTTCGATCCCCGTCGGCACTAATCAAACCGAAAATTACAATTTTATGCGCTGAATTCTAAGTGCTTGGCGATGAAGAAAAATATCGTGAGGAAACTGAGGTCTGAGGATTCAAATATTTCGACATTATGTGAAGACCCTCAACAAGCACTAGGGCAAGCGCGACGGACTAATTAATCCATAATTTCCATCCATAAAAACAAAGATTTACATGGAAAAGTCATACTATAGCTATTTAATGGCCGTAACACAAATGGGTCAGCTTGTCGGGGAGGAACCGCGCTTTCACAGAATACCTGCCTAAAATAACAGCCCGATGCTGCTGTGTTTCGTATGGTAAGAGTAGTCCATCAGAAATCCTTATTATTAGAAGTTATGCATTCCAAATAAGTCTTCAGAGGTGACAACACATCTGTATTTTGATCCTTAATTGAGGATAGATTTAGAAGTCTGTCGGCCACAGCATCAACTCAGGTGCACTGTGTGCTCGTTTGTGACCCTTATTCTATAAAGAAAACGATAAATTTTATGTTTTAATACTTAGCATCTGGGTTAAAACAACTAGTCGTATTTACAGCTGTCAAACAGTGACCCAGTTAAAATTATGAAATTATATCATTACACCAAAATCTCTTTGAAGTCGGTAATTGTTACCCTTGATCTTATGAGCGGACTTTCGAGAGTTTCGCAAATAATAAAAGCAATGATTATGTAGACATTTAATATGTCCGTTTGCTTCTTAACATACTTCAATCATTCATTATAATCTGTTATTTAATAATAATCCCCTTTTTTAATTTTTAAGCCGTTAGAGTAAGCAAGTAGATCTTGATCTGAGAGAGGACCTTTACTTACCCTTACCTTGAGTTACGCAACTAATAAAACCAATGTAATTAACTAATATGTAGACGTTGAATACTATGTCTATGCTTATCAATGTAGTTTTATCATTTCTTAATCAGTCTTTTGTTGTACTGTGTAGTGGAGGTGTAAGAATATCTACCACACCATATCATCCCGTGGCTGTCGTAAGAGGCGACAGAAGGAAACATATCAGGAGATGGGCAGCTGTGTCTTGCAAGGTGCCAAGCAACGGTGGCAAATATGGCAGATATACTCTCCGTGAGATAGTCTATGGCGGAGGCCTATGTCCAGCAGTGGACTTTAACGGGCTGTAACGGTATTCAGTCTTTTAACAATTATCACCGTTATTTTATGTGGTAGAGCCACACTAGGCAGTGCGACTCTACCTCATAAAATAACGGTTAAGTGTTGATTTACCACGTGCTCGGCGGTGAATGAAAACATTGTGGGGAAATGTCAGAGAAATAAAAAAAATAAAAGAAAATCCGCCAACACGGATTGGGGCAGCGCGGCGGACACTTCTTTTTCCTAAAAGCTCTCTCAGAAGTGAGAGGAAGCCTAACAGTACAGTAGTTGGTATGTAGGACGTATATAGGCTGTAACTTTACTTAACTTTTTTTACAGGGGAAATATGTGAGTGCATCATACCGAAAGGATGTTTTTTCAACGTGGTAGAGCCATTTTGCAGCTATATTATGGTTGTAGCACTAACGGGTCGGCCCGACCGGGGTAGGACCACGCCATCACTATACCAGCGTGAAAGGGCAGCTCGACGCTGTTGTGTTTTGTATTCTACCTTATTTTACTGGAACACAGTATTCTATTTTAGTCCTCAGGGGTACGAGTAACAACGCATCTGCATTTTGAACCATAAATGCGTATAAATCTATATGTTACCTTATCATCAGGTAGACTGTGTGCTCGTTTTTTCACCCTTATTTAAAATAAAAATACTACGTGCATTTTCGTGTTTCGGTCTAAGGGGTCCATCTTAATCCTCAGTGGTGACAACGCATTTGTAGACTGTTAAACGCCTGTCACTTCAATTATATAAAGAAAAAACACATAGGATGATTTAAATTAATGAACACTGAGGAGATTTTATTTCTCAGGTCAATGTACTACAACTAGAGCCGGCTGTAAACGATGTATTTTTTTTAATTCTGCGTGTGTTTCGTATGACTTTGGATCAGTGCCAACCATACCTGTCCTTGCTGCACTCAGTAGCTTGACGGACGATGTTCCGATAATCTTACGTCATATTGTATTAGAGTTGTTAATGCAAAACGACAGTAGCCTAATGCTTAACGGTACGGATTAAGAAAATAAAAGGTCCACGATCTTTGAAATCTGCCATTCTACTATTGTCGTGAACATTTTAAGCTTACTTAGAGTAGTTAATGGGAAAATAAGTAGTGTACCGCTAGTATTCATTCTTCAAACCAGCGTCAAAAAGGAGGAAGTAAACAATTTGACTGTATGTTTTTTGTATGTATGTTTAGCGATACCTTCGTCAATACTGAACTGATTTTTATGATACTGGGTCTCTTATTTTCAAAACTGGAATATAACAGGGGGTATATACCTGCTTGACGGAAGAAGTATGCTTTACTTTTTACATAGAAATAAAGTGACACATTTATCCTCAATTAAGAATCAAAATGCACATGTGTTGTCATCCCCAAAGACTGAGATGGAACACCTAGTTTGCAGTAAAAGGTTCTCCGGTTCTCTACAAACACCATACGAAACACAGCAGCAATAAGCTGCTATTTTACGCTGGTATTCTGTAAGAGCGTGGTCCTACCCGGTCGAGCGGACACATTTGTGCTATAGCACACATGCCACGTATAAATGCTGTTAGTATTAGAGAGTGTAATATAACTGGAATGTAATTTGGTCGGCTCGACCTGGGAAGGACAATCTATCCATGGCAAAACGGGATAGGATTGGATGATGAGGCTATGTGGTGATAATAATTCTTCTCAATCCAATAGAAAATAAGTATAAAATAAGAGCATTATGCTGTTGATTTTCGTATAGTAAGTGACAAGATCTAGTGACCCTTTTTACTGTAAAGAGAAATTTCATCAGATCAAATTGCATCTGTGTTGCTCTCTCCATGCTCTTAATGAGGACTAATGCATTTTGATTTTTAATCAAAGATATAGGTTTCTATTTACAGCTACTTAGTCGTTTGTCTTCTGCAGCCATAGTATCTTTCTCTTCTGAAGAGAGAGCAATCGAGAATGCATCTCCCCGATGGTCAGTATAAACAGCTACAACACTAGACGATTCGATATAATATGGCTTTTGGGAAATATGACAGGTGGTCTACTCTGCAAACCTTTTTCATATCGTTCTATAAGGTTTCAACAATAACTATTATTTATTAATCTTGTCACTGTCACGTTTATAATATTATTATATATTAATAAAAAGTAAATAACCTTTATTTAATATAAGCTGAAGTAGTTAGTGAGAAATTGTAGTATAAATAGTCGAAGTTGCCAATGAGAACATCATTTCTAAATGGTAACAATCTCTAAAATAAACAATTATTCATTTTAATAGCGCGCACATTAAGTGGGATTGCACCCAAGACAAAATTAAAATATTATTTCAAACATCGCAAGAATCCTGGCAAGAGGAAATTGGCAATAATATGTGTCGAAGAAGAGACATAGCCCTTTTCTAGGAATTATACTGTTCAAGAGAAAAACAGTAAACAATTTTTTCTTTAGCTTCGTATTTGACACATTATCACTGGCACTTACATATGAATAGACATAATGTTAAGAGATATTTTATAAATAAAATAAAACTAAAAGTGAGAATCAGTATTGATTAAATTTAATGCAACACGGGCCGTGCATTCAATAGAGATCGTGTAACCGGTTGATTATAATATAGCGCAGGTAGAGTCACAGATATGTTAACTGTGACATCAAATACCCCTGATAATATTGCTACGTTGTTTACCGTGACGAGAACAATCGGTTTCCCAGCCCCGCGCAAATGAATTGTATGACGCCCGACGTGTAATATAGCACTAAACAAAGTATAGCACTGACGCTATAAATTCGATGCTCGGCACGCCACACCGCACTCTGCAATCAGAACTCGTAGAGAACGCACGCTACAAGTAACAAAGTAAAAATGGTTGTGAAGTTATCAGTCGCTTTATACGCGGACGTGTACCCGACGTTGGCGAAGTCACGTGGACGCCAGTTGGACTGCGCGGCCGAAACCAAGCGGCAGAAGATGTGTGCTGCATTGCCAGCATTGGTGGAAGACGACTCTGAGGTCGAGGTCGAGCAGGAACACTGTCACATTCTTCGCACCGAAGGCCTACGGCGACAGATGTCGGTATCGCCGCAACGCCGAGAGAAAATGCGTCGCACGCTCGTTCTGCCTTCGCTTTCAGAAGATGAGGAGCCTTGAAAGTACGGTCAATGAATTACGGATCCAGTTATAAAACCTTAAACGGCCGACTGCCAGTTTCATCGCTGTGCCAGAGCAAAGGTTGGAGGTGAAATTCGTCGGTCAAAAGAGTCGACGGAAACTCCATGGCGGATATGACTGTACAGTGGACGTTATTGCAAAATGAATATATAAGTGATATAGTGAATACCAAAATGTATATTAACCAAAGCCTGATAATACCAATAAATGTAGGTTAAGTTCAATGATATTATGTGTTAATCAATTTAAAAATAAATATATTTGTGTTTAATATGACTTAACATTTTTATTTATCAACCCCACCGGTATGTAAAATTATTTACTATTCTAGATATTATATTTACATTTCACTCATTTTTTTTTCTTATTCTTATATTAATGAATAATTTATTTAAATATTCACACATATTAAAATAAAATCACATAATCAGAATTAAAATCAAATGACCCAGGACAACAATAATATTTATGACTACATTTTGTTACTATTATTTCCCAAGGATCTGTCTCACTAACTCTTTTTCTTTTTCTATCTCCCTATCTCTCAAATGATAACAGAAATGAATAAGTACACAAAAATGTAAACAAATGCCCATTTAAAAATAGTATTCTTAGTGACTGACCCAATTTTAAGTATGTCAATGCGCTAAAGAAAGTTTTGTAAGCAAAATCCTTGGTAACAATGTAAACATTGGATAAAATTTTGTAACACCATTTCATAATGGCATTCTTTACGAGTTAATTTAAACAATATTATATGCTTTTGTATTTGAGTTTTAAAAAGTCATAAGACGAAGAGAGAGATATATGAATATGAATTTATTTGTTTAAATTCTGATTTCATGGAACTAGTAACTTTGTAAAAAACCACTTTTACTAAATACTTTTTACTGGTCACGAGGAATTCCATCTTCTCGTCTCTGGTTCTCTACACTCACCAAATAACAATAAGTAAAAATTTAAAACAGAACAAACACTAAACAAAACACAGTAATTACAAAAACACCCGACTGCGTAAAAAGTTTACTGGAAAGAGAAAAAATTATGCCATAGGTCCACTCACCCTCACAACCAAGAAAAATCGAACGTCATGACAAGACATAATATCGGAAGAAATAGTCATACATGCACAAATACATTCGAAAAACATTATCCTCCTCCTGTGGCAGTCGGGTAAAATTTAACCCGATTAAATACCCGTGTATTTCATTATTAGTTAAATCGTCTTGCAATCTTATAACGATAATTATATGGAGTTAAATTTTCTTCTTAATAATTTTTAGGTTTTTCAACCTTTTGTATAGAAATCGAAACAGTCAGTCAGTATCGATAGCTCCATATTTTTTTGTTTTAACTTCACTGTATATATGTAGTTACACAATATATTACAGCCAAGCTCAGGTATTTCCCTGTCAACCGTGGCCTCTTACGATCCTTGCGAAATCAATTCAGGGTCGTAGATATAGAAAATACGTTGACACGGATGAGTCAGTATTGTTGTTTTTTTTTTTTGCGGAGTAGAGCCTTAGTCACCAGTGCAGTAGTTTGTCGCTGAGCAAATAATTTTGTATGATTGTGGATCTCTTGATTAGAGCTTCACGTGAGAACCGTGAAAGAAACTTGTTTTATTATTGACATCACAAATATGAAAAATTCTACGTGTAATAAAAACCGGACAGTGGAAAATGTGAAGTGAAACTTCTTTACAACATATTATTGTAGTTTTATTATATATTTTACATAAGGAGGTTAAATAATAGTATACTTACTATATATATATATATATATATATATATATATATATATATATATATATATATATATATATAAAATATATATATATATATATCCCTGAGGGGTAGGCAAAGACTACGGACTTCCATTTGGCACGATCTTGACATACCTCTCTCGCCTCCTTTACATCCATATATCTATGCTCGTCGGTTAAGGGTGCTCTTAATGTGGCCCGTTTTCAAAATATCCACAATTTGGTCGATGAACCTTCTTCTAGAGGGCGTTCCTTTCCGACTCTACCGTTCACATCTGCAATATAAATTTGGTTTATCACTCTTCCACCACCAAAACTCTTCAAACCACCGAAGCATTCCTTTCTTAATCCTTGTCACAACAACAACAACAAAACGAGACGTTTTTTTAAAAATACTGCTCTACTAAGTCGATAAAGAAATTTGACTTCAATAAATCCAGTACTGATAACATAATTAAATGATGCAAATCTATACATACATATAAAAACATTTAAGTGTCTGTCTATAACGTCAAAATAACTGGTTGTTTGCACTAAATCGAATTGGGATATTTGCACCCTATTATGTTACGAATAATCTTTAAATTTTTTGTCTATCTATTTCTCTTTCCCGGCTAATTTTCGGAATAACTGAAACGGATGTAGCAACACTTCACGAACAGGTAAATAGCAATGCCAGGGGTGAATTTCATCTGAATTTTCTTTTTGATATAAAAGAACCATTTATCTGGTACGATCTCGTAAGAAGGAAGTCGTTGGATGCAGGTGGCTCAAGACCGTGCTTTGTGGCATTAGTATGTACAGCAGTGGTTGTGATAAGCAGTTATAATAATGATACTTAATTAAGCCAACGTGAGCCCAAACCCATTAAAAAAGTTTCTTGTTTGAAATTAGAATATCTAATACAAAATATTCAGGTGAACTGTGGGCTTGTTCGTCAGCCACATCCTAATAAAAAAATAATGATTTAGAATCTGTGAGAGGAAAAAAGAACGCTAACATAATTGAAATAAGAAAAATTCTCAAAGGGTTACGAACTCTCGGCGATTACAATATAATCATGTACATATTAAGTAAACGGAAACAGCGGAACAAATCGGAAATAGCAAATTTGAAATTTGTATCATTCCATGAATACTAATTTTTTTGTTATAAAATGTTGTATTCTAACATAATGACTTTAAAACCAAAATACTAGAACCTAGTAATTTAAGAAACGAGAATCATCATCAGCGTCATCATTAAATTCCACTGCTGAACATAGGCGTCCCTTAAGGAATGCTACTGACGCTGACGTGAAACAACAACGCTCCGGGAAGTCTGCAGTTTGTGATCATATCCTGAGAGAGACGGCCTCCGCCATCACATCAAATTTCACAACCATCACACCAAAGCCCACAAATCCTCGCCAAGAAACATTGATTCCTACCAAGGATAGTACGCAAGGCTATTGAAATTAAAAAAAAAAAACATCCTAATTGCAATAGATAAGAACGCTGGCTTCTACCATCTGCTTGGGCTCAAGTAATGAAAGTTCATTCTGCATAGATCGGACCAAACATAATAATCAATAAGCTGAAGATATTGCGGGTAAACTTTGACATTGGTACACCAATTACCTTCGTCTTCCGTGACCACAGCTTAAAGATTAGATCTTTTAATTGTGACGTGGGTGCTGCAAAGTATCCGACACGTCGGGATAGAAATAAGTAGAAAATAAACGCGATAAAATCCGTAAAATTACTTTTATTCAATGTGTGGTCGCGTTAATACGAGAAATCATAATAAAACTGTAGTCGAAATCAGCCGTGATCATCATCATAATACATGATACAATAAAATAACTTATACTTTCATTTTCGACAATTGTGATGGTAATCTAACATTACGTTCTCTTTTCTTGAAATAACTGCCTCAGTGCCTTTACCCTGCTTTAAATGACAGCAACTATATTTTTATTAAAGAAAAAAAAACATAATTTCCAATGCCATAATTTTACTTTTAATAACTGCCTCAGTATTTATATATCCTGTTTTCAATCACAGTAGGTAAGTATTATTTTATTTAAAAAAAAAACGATCTTCATATAATATATAATTATATGTATATACAAAGTATATGTAATATTTGGAGTGTAATCGATAATACCTTTCATATGATAGACATCATACTCGTACCTAGTAATAAATCGTTATTATTAATTTAGGTCGCAAGGTTTTCATAGTACATGTCCGCGATATCCATTTTATGCTGTCGTGATAGCACATGAGTAAACAAAGTGGTAGTCTGTGTTAATCGCGCCGTCCGAGAAGTAGCTTAGGAGTTACGGGCGGACATAGAAACGGACATACATTCTTTTATTATTGTGTATGAATTTTGTACATTAGTCAAATATTACGGTCAGTAGTAGCTCAGATACTAAGCAATTGTATACAGTATGCGAGCAAACCTGGTTCGATCTCCGCCGGCACAAGTGAAATTTCTATTTGCAATTTTAAACCACGTATTCGGCGGTGAAGATAAATATCGTGATGAAATATATTTGAGGACTGAAAATATTTCCAAAATATATGAAGGCCGTCAAGACAGATCAATTTGGTGGCCTATTTGCTCCACAACTCTCTCAGAAATGAGGGAAGGCCTGTGTCCAGAATTGGAACGTAGGTATATAGGCTGCAACTTAACTTACCGTTACCGTTTCAGCCTATTAAAAGTTCGTTGTTGAACATAGGCTTACCACATAGATTGCGTTATAAAGCAATTATTTGCCACAGTTGCCATGCTTAGGAGGCGGGTTGGCAATCGCAGATCTTTTTTTAAAGATTTTATTACAGACGCTGCTGCTCATCTCCTCTTTTGTTTTTTTTTCTATCGCCTCTGACGACACCCACGGAATGTTATGGTGTAGTGGATATCCTTACACCGCAACTACACGGTCACTTTACAATTCTATTCAACATAGCTTAATTTATTCCCAACTTGTAAAGAAATACCTCGTTTTACTGGGATCAAAACCATTTTACAATGACGCATGTCTTAAACTGGTGCATGTCAAAGTTTAAGTAAACTATATGTCAAAAGAAATGCACATTTGAATGAATGAAGAATCGCATACAAAATTATTATGTTGTTTTGTTTCTTTTCTTATTATAAGTATTATTTTATTCATTATACTCTTTGTACGTGCTCCAACGAATGTGGGAGGAAAAAG